CTAATGTTCAGTTAGGAAAAACTTGTTTCATTGTCCTTGTGCACTAATGGACATAAAACTATCATTTGTTTTAGTTCAAATAGTCTTTCTCAGCCATAAATTTTGCAAAAGCTTCGTAAGTCTTTTACAAAAGTGCTGAGATTATGACATCAAGAATTTATATTTAAATATCTTACCCTATGTCTCTTCCAAACCTGTACATGGTCAGGAGGTAGTCTTGGGAAACTGAGTTTTCTCTAGGCAATCCTACAAAGGCATAACCAGTTAGGTAAGTGTAAAAACTGTGATGTAATACTTTGATCTCCTAACGTTTAGATTTGGAACTTAACAATAAAATCACAATAGAGAGAGAAAATGAGAGGGAGAAGAGAGTGCTTGTCAAGAGAACGGTTCAAAGCTGCACCGGGGAGGTTTAGACTGGACATTAGGGAACATTTCTTTACTGAGAGGGTGGTCAGACCCTGGGACAGTCTTCCTAGAGAGGCGGTCGATGCTCCAAGCCTGTCAGGGTTTAAGAAGCATTTGGAGATTGGTCTGTTCTGAAGGAGAGAGAAAATAACCTACATATTGGTGGTTCTCATCACTGCCAGGAACTGGAAGCAGTTAGTTGCTAAAAGTTAATTTGGACATATTTTGGAGTGGCCAATGTTCCTCTGACAACATTTGAAAAAAATTATTGGTGAAACAAAGTTTATAAAAATGGAACTGATTTTCCTTAATTAGGGAAAATAAATGGATTCTCCAGTTTTCTGAATTGGGCTGGGGCTTTACCATTTTGGTCTCTTCTCACTTTACTTGTTCTGCAGGATTAAAATAGATGATATTATCTTCCTTGAACTGCAACCGAACATAGATAGTATCTCCCTCAGACTGCAACTGAGTAGCTTCCACAAAAGGCTTTTCACAAGTATCTGGAAGAAGAGGAGAGAAAGAAGACTTTTTTTTTTTGGGGGGGGGGATCAGTGCCAGGAGAAAATGATACTGTGCAAGTATTGGCAAGGCAGGTAATCAGAGGTTTGGGAATCTGTGAATAACCAGTGCTAGTTATACAGCAAGAATCGAACTTACTCAGTGAGCAGTCAGAGGGCAGCTTGTTACGTTAGGAGGCATGTTTGTGAAGCAGACTGCCTTCAAAAGTCTTCACCAAACTCTTGCAACAATCTCCTATGCAGGGCATGCATAAAAGGCAAAATGGAAACCAAAGATTCAGGGGAATAAAGTCATAGAGCAGGTGAAAAAGGAGGAAAATGTAACAAGATGCAAAATAAGCTCATTTGAAAATTATTTATTAATCCAATTCAGGTAATGAGCCATTTCTAATCACTTTATCAGTGGAACATAGCATCATTTGAAACAACTAGTGAAATAATGCCACAAAATTCAGGCACGTTTCATACATTGTATGAGGACGTTGGTGAGTGAAGTGGCTGAGACATACAGAATTGTAATGCGTAATGATGATTGATACTTAAAATTGATCTGTAACTAAAGCTATGATACTGTAAACAGAAATAGGTCTTACAGAAATTAAAAATAAATTCTATCCAGATTTAGCTGAACTAAAAATTGAAAAATTCTTATTAAACAGATTATCATCCTAATGACCAAAAATACCAGTCGTCTTCCATTCTAGCTTAGCATTATGATAATGAATGAATGAGAGAAATATAAACAGAATATAGCCAAAATGGGTGCCATGGTTTTATGGCAGTCTGCACAGAAGAGGAGAGGGAACTTTTCGCAGCAGCACTTGGTATGAGACTGAACAGGACTTTTATGCTCAGCTTTTCTTCCTCAGCTATATGCACCAGTGATGGAGATAGAAGCAGCAGAGCCCACATTTCTGATGCTTAGCACAACTTAACCTTCTCAAGGGCTCACTGGTGTGCAGTACACTTGAGCTGCTGCTGTGGGTGTACTTTAAATACAGAGATTGTATCAGGACTATATGCAGACCCAGTTCACTGATTTCTCACCCGTCCTGGCACTGGACTGGGAATTGTTCATGAGAGTACAAGGGCAGATTGTTGCCTTTAGAGTTTATTTTAAATGTAGTTCCTTCATAGTTAGGGTCAATGATTTGTGCTTTCATAGGAACTTCTGTCAGTATTCTTAACATTTTCTGAAGAATGATACCTGCTCAGTTTCCATTCTGAAGTAGTATGAAAAATAAAATCAACAGAAATTTTTTAATTTAATGGAAGTTTTGTTTCCAAAAGTAATGGTTTTCAAGCAAGGGAAAAAGAATCTGTTGGGACTGGTTTTGGTAGCTGTTTTCTTAAATAGCCTGGCGCTATTGACAAAAAATGTAATCAACAAAAAACAATTAGTGTGTGCTGTGCCAGATTGCATAAGATATCAATTAAGAATTGGATTCTGCAGAACTCAGTTACTGGGAGATAATTGGTTTAAGCTTTCTCTGTGTCACTGAGAGTCTAGAGGTTCTCGTCAGTCCCTAGACTAGATGAAGTAATTGCATTCTAATGTACCCATTTATCTGTTCTGACCACAGTGAGGACCTTAAATTGTTTAGCTAGAAATGTCTATATTTTAGATATCTACAGATGTGAGATTAATTCCGTCTCCTTCAGATGTATTAGATAGCTGAGCTTATTTATGAAAGAGATGTTGTCATTGCAAATGATTGTGATGAAAAGTGAGGAAAATATTATGTGAAAATGTGTCTAGAATTTTTCTTCCTATGACTTGAAATTAGCCTGAAACCATTTCCACAGAACTTGCTGCCTTCTTAAGACAGTAGGGTCATTTGTAGAAATGTGAAGATTACAGGTTTACTATAATAAGCATTTTAACGCCTGGATTCAGCCTTTATGCTTTGTTCAAGTGTGAAACTTTAAACGTGTAAGTATTGAAAAAAAAACTTAAAGTATAACAGAACTGAAGCCCACTAAACTGGGCTTAAATATGAGCCTGTACTCTTTGTAAGCATAGAACAGGAAAAGCACTTTCACTTTTTGCTCACCAAGAAGTCAAGTGTAACTATGTATTCCCAGATTTCTGTAGCACATACCAGGAAAGAATTTTATCTCTAGTCATCTTCATGGGAAGCAGGTGGTGTTTTTCTTGTTTGCACACTTTTGTACAAAGTTCTCTCAGCTATTTCCTATTTCCTCCTGAAAATAGCAGTGACTGTTTCATTATCACAGGAGTTGGTATTGCAGGACTTAGCAGTGATTTAAGGAAATTCTTTGTATCTAAGGGCTTTTATCTCTGGCCTTTATGAAGTGCCAATATGACATTAATTGTAAAATTTACTTTTGGTTTACTTAATTGTTAACTCTATTTTAAATAAGCTGTAGGGGGTGGGGTTTTTTTTGTTGGTTGGTGTTTTTTTGTTTGTTTTTAACCAGATCTCTTGGTTAAGTAATGTCATACGGGCATACCATAAAGGGAAATACCATACAATTTTTAGACATCTTTCTATGTCTGTGATGGGTGAAACTTCTTTACAGACTTAACCAAAGGTGTAGAATAACGTGTGTCCATCCAGCAAATGAGCGCAAGGGAAAAAATGGAAAGACCAGGAGAAACATGTTAGCAGGGGTGCCACATGTTTTAAGATAGCCCTTGATAAAATGACCAAAGTATTCCTAAAGGAAGGGGATACTTCCATCCTAAGTAACTATCAATAACATTTTTACTTAGGAGCCTTTATTGGTTACTGAGTATCTAGAGAAAAGGTAGATAATAATGGTAATACAAGTGTGTTTTCAAGCTGCTCAGGCATAGGCACAGATGTCCTGGTGCAGAAACCTATCCCACTTATTCCAGATAAGTATGCTCTAGTATGGCATCATATTTTCGTCAGACAGAGACCTTAAGCATAGGGAGAGGGTGAGAAATTCTGACTGCCATTCTCACAGAAGGGCCAAAGTGTGAATCTGTTTCCCATTACAGATATTTCGTAGCTGCCCCTCTGCTCTAGTCCTGCTCCTCCGTATGATTCTTCGCTGAGGCCTGTTAGTGCCAGGTGCCTGTCTGTGGCTTGGGGAAAGATGTTTTTGTAACTCAGGAGGGATGATGCATGTCTTAAAATAGGCAGAATGGTAAACTGCCCCCTAAGGCAAACATGGCTCTTGTGTACAATTGAAGAAAAGCTGAAAGGGGATCTAGGCAGTATGTTATCAAATGAAACTACAACAAAAAAATAGCACTACCTATTTTCAAAAAGTTTTATTTTCAAAAGGTGATTTTATTTCTCTAAACTGGAGAGTTATATAATGTAGTAAAAGATATACCCATTTATTATACATGCGTGAATTTAAAAAGGAACATCTCTGCATTCTGAAAGCGTCATTACTGAAATAAAACCCAATAGGAAGAGTATTGACTGTTGTATTTTTATTATTAATTTGCACCTGGCAGAAAAATTTTGATGTTTACAGGATAAGTGCAGGGCAGTAGGAATTGGCATAATTAGTCCCAAAGTTCGGACTAGAATTAGGAATAAAGGAATCTTTTCAATTTTTTTCCAGCTTTCCATCTATTTATTTGTAAGGAAGTAATATTTAATTCACAGATGCAGGTTTTATAGTAGGTTTTACATGAATGAAAATATATTATCATAAACTGTGAAGCTGAAAATGTGAAATGAGCAGTGTTTGCCATCATAGTCTAGATAACACTGAAGTGATACAGCAGGAAAAAGTAATGTAAAGATATGAGTAATGATTTGCCCTGTGTGCAGAAAGGAGAATTTCTACACTGAGTTAAATAAAATAATTTCACATAGTAAATATGTGTCAGAGTTTTCCCCCTAACACCTCTGGATCTAACTTTTCAGTCATTCTTATTTATGTGATAAATACAAAACTGTAACACTTTGGAGGAAGTATGTGTGTGTGTGTGTATTTGTATAGATCCATGAACTTTATGAAGAGAGGAGACATATCTGGCTGGTAAAATGCGAAGCTGGTGTACGATTTCACTGATTCATAGGCTGGTTTTTGTTAGTTGGAACATACTGGCATTTTGTCAGGCTACATGTTAGTGTGTGCATCATCTTCTTGGGTACCCAAAGTTGTTTCTGGTCCGCTCATTTGGGTTGAAATATGTAGCAGGTTTTGTCTTTTCCTCCTCAAGCAGAAATAAATTATACTCCCAGCTCCAACTATAGAAAGGGCTAGAAGAACAATCAACCAAATGATGCCAGCGGAAAGTACGTTCTTCATTTTCCCTTCTGAAAGTGGATGAAATGGAATTAACACCTTTCATCTTAACACATTTCACAATCTGGTAATAAATGGGGTTTCTTTAACCAGAAGTCAGACAAATGCAATATGCATGTAGATTTTCAGTTCACTGAGTGGTTTGGGGTTTTTTTTTACTAACTAAAACAAACAGAATGTAATTAAATCTGATCAAAACCCATTTTGCTTCAGAATAACCTCTATTTCCTATATCTAGACACAGATTAAATGTATGGACTTTTCATGTCTAAAAGTTCTCAATATTAATACCTAGAAACTATATATTCTTGTTGCATTTGAGCATCTCCTTATGTTTCTACTTAAAAGGAAGTATGCTTACCTGTGTTTTCTGTTGACATTTCTGTGTTTTCAGGAGCTTTTGGAAAGAAAAGAAAATGTTTATTCTGAATGCTTTAAAAAATGGAAGAGGCATTTTAAACTTCCTAAATCCAGATGCTCCTGACAATTCTCCTGAATCCACTTGCTGATGACAGTTGCCATCCCAGAGAGATGGAGCTAAGCATGTGTAAACCTCTAGTAGGATGATTGGCTCTTTCATTCCAAGAGCATCTGACCTCCTCAGTCAGGGTACCCAACAAGACATTAAATTAGTCAGATTTCTGTTATTTCTAAAAGTGTTTTCAAATATGTTCATTTCTGAGAAACTTCCCACAGGATCCTTAATCATTTAAGGTGTTTTGTGAAAGAGGAAAAATTTCCTGAATGGAGACCTTGAGTGTTAGAAATGTATCATGAGCATTTTACTTGAGCTGAGAAGGATCTTCTGTCGGAGACAACCATTCCGGGTGGATGTGATTCCTATGGTAATTGCACTTCCTAAACTTAGCAGATAAGGGAACAGTGAACAGGAATATGAAGTTTAACCAAACAAAATGTTCATGTTCTGGACCATTTTCATTTAATCTCAGTTGGTAATCAAAAACTCATGCATTTTCTTGCAGATTATAATTTTGCTATCAGGATAGTACCAGCGTTTTATTAAACATTATTCTATCATACTGTAGGTAAAGAGTGCCACAAGGATGTATGTTATCATTCTTCAAATCCATTAGCTCAGAGGACAGTAATGAAAGGAATCACTGATTCCAGCATTTCTACAAGACAGAGTTTTCATTGCACTCATCAGAACAAGCTTTTTTTTTTTTTAGAATATATTAATCTGAAACTAAACAAAACATTGTTTTTTAAGCCTGTATTTGTGTGCTATTGGAGGGGAAATTATACTGAAAACTGTCTTTTTATTAAAAGTGAGTGGTCTTTGACCATTCTTTTACCTAAACCTAGGAGTCTGAAGTATTCATGGTGGCTGCATGGGGCTGATGGCAATTTTACAGGATTTATGGGACAGAGCCTTCTCATTCAGAAGCCACATGGGGCTCCTCAGTATTTAGGCAGCTGAATCCTGCTATTAAGGTCTATAGGTTTTGCACACAAGCTTATAATGTTTTGCATTTTTATGTTATGCAATGAAAATGTATTATCAGGCATTATTAACCTTAATGCATTACAAATATTACTTACTTTTTGTTTTTTTACAGACAAATCCTTTTTTGAAAGAACAGACATTGGTGTTCCAGTAGCCAGACAATGCACATACTTCTCCACACTCTTTATGCCTTGCGTTTGAAGGTTCTCCTATTTGCCAGTTGACAAAATCCATTGCAGATTTGTCTGTCCATAACCACTCTCCTAGGATTTAAAATGACCATATGTGTATAAAACACAGGGATTTATACAAGTAAGGTAAGATGTGATGGGGAAAAAAAATTATAACATAAAGAGATAGTTAGATGTTTCAGTTACATTTCTAAGCATATGTAAGCATGCTTTAAAATAAACTTTGTTTATTTTTTAGGCATGTGTATTCTGAAGCCTACAGAGTTGATTTCTAATACAACATATCATCATTTTGTATGATATGATAATGTATGATTAAATATTGAAATATTACCTCTGTCATTTTCCTTTAACCCTATCCAAAAGTTAGGTGATTTTCCATGAAGTATCTTAATGGTGTCTGCCAGAAAGTTTGCTTCAGTATAGTCTCCTATAGATACCAAATTTGCAGCTGAAAAAATATTGAGCACATCACAATGTCTTATTTTCTTACAGTGTAAGTCAATAAACAAATAAAAGGTATGCAAAAAGATATAAACAACACTGATTCTTGAATGTAATACTGATTAGTCTCATATGGTTATTATATCGCTATATTCTATTTTGAGCACGACTGTGAGCTGTATGGATGCAAATTAGCACAAAGACATGGATTTTTGTTTAGCCTTTAGTATATGAGAGTTAAACAACTCCTTCATCTCATTTGTTGTCCAGGCAGTGAGATATGATGAATAAACTGTGCCCTTGGAACTAGCAAAGACCACTGTCCTATGAGGTTGTGTCTCCCAGTTTGTACGCTGTGTGGATTCCCTCTTGTTTGGGGAAAGGAAAGCAAAACCAGCAGTCTGTACCTTAGTGGGACTCTGAAAGTGTTTATGTCCTTACCCTACTACTGATTTCCATGCAACTAGTAGGAATTTTATATTTCACCTTGTATTTGAGATATCAGATGCCTATGCCTCTGACAAAGTTCAGTTTTATTGTATAAAAGCATGCTCAGAAAAGCAAGCTAAAAAGCAGTAAGTTTGAAGTCTTAAAACAATTTGAGATTGGTTTAGCAATATCACCCACGATTTTATGTGTTTAATTACATCTTCAATCTTTCCAAAACAAAACATTCACCTAGTCGGGCACATTCCTGGCGAGCTTGAGACCAGCTTCTTTTTCTGGAGGCCTCAAAGTAATAGCAGTAACCATGGAAAGGTATCCAAGATTTGTGTCCTCTTGATTCAGGGCATTTCCCAGGAAGCTGTGGGGGCTCAGTAGGGGCCATGACTGGTAAGAGATCAGGTAGTTGGAATCCAGTTATTTTATAAAATTTATTTTTCCCATTATACTAAGACAATACAAAACAGACTATGTTAGGTTTGTCATCATAGAAGAAAAGAAATATGTTCTAAAACCAGCTTGAATATGGTTTTGCTTTTGTGTTGGAGAGCATATATTGCTTCATATTTTTTATCAAGGTGACTTGGAAGACACACTAATCTATAAGAAGTACAAAATCTGTCTAAAGATTATTTTTGTAATTACTGTAATCAATAAAATACCCAAATGCTTTTCTGGCATAAATAAATTCATAATTAGTTAAAATGCTTTTTTTAAAATATCTTCTGACTCTTCAGTCTCAGTTTTTGACAGGTTCAAAACCTTATAGCAGAAACTGTGATGGTGAATGAAAGTGTTGGTGTAATTAAACATGGCTAGCAGGATTTTCTTATCAAACTGCATCCTGAATAAATTCCATGGTGATGATGTAATGGGAAGATTTTGGATGATAAAATGAATGCAGATGGAATGAAAATTAAATGTTCTGCCAAATTACATTTTCTTCCTGAGTCTTCTACAGTCTATTTCTTTCCCTGCTAAAGAATGTTCAGCTCTTAAATTAGACTTCTAGAATATTAAAGGGGAAAGAGATGTTATATTTCAAATTGAGGATTTTTGTCAGTTACAACATTTTAGATTGTGATTTGGCATGTAATTATAAATTTTCTAATGCTTCAAGATCCTCCATAATGTTTACAAACATAAGAATATAGATAAATTGTGAAATCATGTTCATACTTATTTCCATAGAAATTATAAAAGCTTGTGCTTGGAAGGCTCCCCAGGGGTTATTTACTTCATCCTTGTGCTTACAGGTGACATGAAGTTGATATATAATTATATCATTTCTGACAGCTGTTTGTCCTGTCTGTTCTTAGAAACCTGTAGTGAAGGAGATTCCCTGACCTGTCCAAACTATTTATTAAATGCTTCTCTACTGATAAAATTAGAAGGTTTTCCTTGCCATATTTAACTCTGTTACTCCTTCCTAACTCATCAGACATAGGGAAGAATTTAATTCCACTCCTTAGGGCTCAATTTTAATTTTTAAAAATGATAATTTGGTCTCTCTTAGTCTTTCTTAGTCTTTTGTTCAACTCTAATTATAATCTTTCATTTTAATTCTTGTTTCTGGTCATCTGAAAACCCTAGTTGACTGAGAGCCTTTTCAAACTTTGGTTCCTCAAACTGGATACACATTTTCATCTGATGCCTAATCAAAACCAATCTCATAGCAAGGGAATGATGTTTCCTATTAGAATGAATAGTTAAGAAATGAATGAGTATTCAGTCCTTTCTTTCTTCGACTTTTGGTAATTATTACTATGAATTTATTTACTTCTGGGAAAAATGCATGACACTGTTTAGAGCTGGTTAGCCACTCATGTATCCCCGTATACTGGTGTATAAACCAAGTACTTTTCCAGTGGCTTATTATATTTAGCACATTTCATAAGTCGACACACTGTCTAGTTAAACCACTTATATTCAATTGCTTACCATACGATTTTTTACAGACAGAAAATAGTTTCTCCTTGCAAGAAGCTGTCTTCCAGGTGCCATCAGTGTCTAGGTAGACACATGCTAATGTCTGTTTTGGTTCCCCGCTGGACCACTTGCTGTAAACTAATCTCCATCTGTCAATCCATTGATACTTGCCATCGGTCTGGAAGCAAAATCTATATGGTAATTTCAAAGTTGTTGAGAGTGACATAGCTACTACACAGGATCCTCAAGAGGACCCTCATGTAATCAAGTATGGAATCATATGCTTACTAATGCCCCGTTTTTGTGCTTGTAAATGCTAATTACAACAAAATGTACAGTGTCTGTTATCCACAAATGGGAGTGCAGAATGATTTTTTTTCCCTGTCCTCCAAAATGTATCTAATATTAATTCATAGAGTTTTTCAAGCATTGGAAAATGGAAGGGAAAAAAGAGGAGGCATGAGAGAAGGTATAAAACTGGGGGTTAGATCAGACATCACGTTGGTGTGACCACCTAAATGTCTGCATGGAAAATGTGAGTGTGGGTGGGAGCGTTCATAATAAGCAGCACTGATCGCCTTCACTTTTGTTGTAGTTATCGTGACTGTGATTCTTTTTGAAGAGCGTAGCATCTCAAAACACACCTACCATCCAAATGTTCGCCCTCCCCTGTCATACAGCTGATGTAGACATCTCACAAACAGAAAGGATTTTTTTTCTTAATATTCTAACTTCTTACACTAATTGCCTTTTTAAACTGAAAAAAAATATATCCGTTGGTCAGTATGTACCACATCATGCAGCCTCCAGATTCCTTTAACTAATTCTTACTCCTGTTTCTGTCCACAGCTGTATTTTGCTACTGTTACCATAAACAAGACTACTCAGGTCTTAGATATGCAACCTGAGTTACGTCACTGATGAGTGAGGTACATAAACACATGGCAGGAGGGCAGGATGCATATTGTGGCTGGAATATCTTTTAGATTAAAAAAAAAAAAAACAACAAAACCCAAAAAAAATCGAAATGTGGGAGATTTTACAATGTATTTTCAAGACCCTTTAAATTACTCCAGACAACACACAGTATTGTTAAATACTGGTTTGCAGGAGCATTTCCTTGTGCTAAAGCATGTAAGAGTTCTTAGTTCATTAAAATCTCCACTCTGTGAGTCTTATTTGAAGAGCCCCAGTGTAAATGTACTGATGTAACATGCTGTTTTCAGCACTTCACTGGCAGAAATTCCTATAGGTTACAAGATGACAGCATAAAGTAAGATCAGGTCCAGTGCCAGCTTGACTACCTATGTGTAACGTGTGTGTTCTTACCGCATTACTTTTAAGACCAATCCACAGAGGCTCTCCATATTCCTGTGCAAGAAGGAACAACAGTGCCTGGCTATACGGGTCTAAGATGCTGGCAAGTTCTGAGGCATTGTTATTGCAGTTTTTCTGTGCTTCCTCCCAACTCATTTTGAAATGGATGACAGAATAGCTAATGCCACCAGAATGGTCAAAAGCAAGGTCCAGCACTGTTGCTGATGACTTAAAGAGTTCAGGATCTGTAGAAATAAGGAGAAAAAAACCCACCCCAATAACAGTTAAATCTGGAGGCCATATATTTGACTTGAGCGACTGAACAACATCCTCGTTTTTTACAAACCTAGTAGAAAATTGCTGATGGAATGGAACACCTTCTCATTAGTTGTTTAGAAGTAATATAACTTTGGAACAACAGTGAACTTTCTGGATGAAAGAAGTACATTTTCAGCCTCTGAGTATTTTGAATCAGTAAATTCACAGTATGTAATATTGCAGAGGTAAATACACCCCATCAGTCAAAAACAACACACCTACCCTGCGTGTTTTCAAAATACTCTGCATCTTAGCAGCTTTGTGACTATCAGGATTATTTAGATAAATGTAAATCTTACCAATTATGATAACCTGTAGATCATTATGATGTCATGTAATTAAAATGTTTGTGGGTTATAGTGATTTAATTACCTGTTTAAAAATATAATAATTATGCTTTCCTAAATTCTGATATTTTATTTATCATTCTTTCTCCAAAACATTGCTTTGTAACACTTGGATGCAAGATAGACCCTTAGGTTTTACTCATCCCTTAGCAAAAAAAACCCAAAAAACCCAACCAACCACCAACAACAAAAATACGACACCCCACACCAAAAAAACAACCAAAAAAATCCAAACTGATCTAAAGCATGTTAAACAAGAAAAGTGATTTTAATCCTTGTAGTATAAATTTCAAGATTGCCGATACAGAACTCACCACTATTCTTCTGGCATATATACCCTCTGGACTTATAACACTCCTCATTGTTCCATTTTCCTGTGTCATCAGCATGACCTCTCTTCAGAGAAACACAATCAAACTATTGGAGTAAGGGAAAGAATGTGAGAACATTGATATTAGAAGTTATAAAACAAAATACTATAACACCTTGGGGAGTTTCATTCCTTTTTTCTTTTGAATTCTGATATTGTAGGGTTTGTATTGCAACTATAGAAACACCATCCTTTTACCCTTTTCTGTCCTTTCTGGCCTCCTCTGTGGTGGCCAGCTCCACCTTGGTACTGTCTTGTTAATCTTTAGCTCAGCCTGCTTGTTGATTTGGTTATTTTCAAGGAGACATACTTGAAAATTGACTTGAAAATAGACTATTATTTTAAAGGACATTCTGTCACACCTTTTGTCTCGACTGATGAGCAACTATCAGTAAGTTTTTTGAATAGGAATGAAGTAAAAATAAATGGAGGTCATGTTTTGTATTTGGCTTGCAAAGTCAACTTAAAATTAATGGTTATTCTTGACAGAATCATCTAAATGGTGGTCCTTGACAGAGTTATCACCAGCTGCAGTTCTTAGGATTTTTCTTTCAGCTACACCAGATTGGGTGATGAGTGCTTAAGCCGGAATTTCAAGTTTATTACAACCTGCAGCAGCCTACTAAGTTGCCATGCAGAAGTTTTAGGAACATCTGTTTTAGTGGCTCTTGACTCTAGCTTTTTAAGCTTGAGTAAATTTTGATGTTATTTCACTCCTTTGAAAAGGATCCTCTGAAGGGGAAAGCAGTTAGTATCTTGAAGGTGAAGGACAAAAGTAGAATGCACCTTTGCACATGTATTTTTTTGGCCTGCTTGATACTTCCAAGGAGGATTATTGGAGCAGCAGTAAGGTTGGGCTATGTATTGTGCTGTAACCTATATGTCTTCTTTCATGCCTGGCCAATGGCTAGATGGGCAAGACCAGAATGAATTGGCTCAGGTGCAGGTTAGGGTGGTTGTGTAGAGGTATGATTTCTGTATTCTCTAGGGGTGTGGATACCAAAATGAAGGGAAGCTGGACAGTAAGTGGAATGACATAGTGTGAAGGGCAAGTTCTGATAGCAAGGTATGGAAATAAATGGAAGAAAGGTAATGTGGGTATGCAAATCAGGCTCTATTGGTCTGAATATGTAGAATACTATTTATTTACATCATTCTGAGGTACTAGCAGTGAATTGGTTTTGATTGATTTAGAAATTAGTTGACATCCTTTGCCCTTAGCAATTCAATTACAATTTTAAATAGGGAAGAAATAGAAAAAAATTAAAGTCTTTCCACTTGCATTCTCTCCTCCTTCCTTTTCAGACATGAGTTAACCGGTCAGACGTGAAAATATTTCTGACGTGTTAAGTTCTAAAAACCTGATGTTGCATTTATATTCTCTGCAAAATGAACAGCAAATTACTATGAAAAAGAAAACTTTATTCAATCTATCCAATCTTTATTCAATCTGTCCATTGCCATTTTTGTGCTCTGAGATAGCTAGAATACTCAAACATTGAATCTTTTTATCACTAATCCTCATGTGAAGATAGATGATGAACTTGGGGAGGAGTCTGAGCCAGTGTCTGTAGCAAAATGGTCTGTTTACTGAAGGGATATCGCTCCTCAGATTTAACTCGATAGTAAATGCTAAGTGGTATTTACCTGTTGCAAATTGTGGCCATCTTCTGGATGTAGACTGGGAAACAAAACAGGTTCTACAAGTTTTGGGGAATCTAGAGCCCAGTTTGTGTAGGAGACAGCACTGCCATCACTCCAAACAAAGTTGAGTTCACTGAGTATATCATTCAAGCCAATCCAGGGATCATTTGAAACATCCTTCAAATGGTAAGTGAGAAAAGCTAGAAATAAAGCCAGTAGAAAAGATGACCATGTCATGTCATCAGCCAAGACATTTGCTCATAAACAAATTCTTAACTATCGCATTTGTTAAAGTCTTGTAAATACATTTTAATTAGCGTTCAATCAGAAATTTACCCAAGTTTATTATTTCAAGGTTATGCCAAGCCTTTGCCTGTGAAAAGTCTCAAAGACTGAAGTTATTTGGAACAATGAATCAAGATTGGAAAATGGAAAGGTATAAAAAACCTGCCTGATCACAGTGTTGTCTAATGAGTTATTTCAACACTCAGGATGAGCTGATGGACTGATGGAAATGTATACAGCTGCAGTGGAAGCCTGGGAATATAGGCAAGGTGAAAATGTGCCTTCCTCTGACACCCTACTGCTGAATTAAGTTGCAGAATTTAGGCAGTCATTTCAGAGAGGTTTAGTAATATAACCCTTTCTTTTTCTGGCAGAAACAGAACGTGGATTCCTTTTCTTTCTCTGTGTCTAAAACTACAAATTCCAGGTCAGGATTTGTTATTTTATGCTAATTCATACCCTATAAATAATGTAAAGCAGTTTGCATGGAACAGGAGGAAGCAACCCTTGGCATCACTAGCATGCCCTAGACAGATAGTTCTATTTCTTCCACAAAACTTCCATGCCGTATAACCCATATTGACTATACCTATTATAAAATATATGTATTTACATACTGCCTCTTTTTGTCATGTTCTTCTGAAAACAGGGAGGTTTAGATTAGATATCAGGAAGAAATTCTTCACAGAGAGGGTGGTGAGGCACTGGAACAGGTTGCCCAGAGAAGCTGTGGATGCCCCATCCCTGGATGTCTCCAAGGCCAGGCTGGATGTGGCTTTGAGCAACCTGGTCTAGTGCAAGGTGTCCCTGCCCATGGCAGGGGGGTTGGAGCTAGATGATCTTTAAGGTCCCTTCCAACTCAAACCATTCTAAGATTCTAAGATTCTTTGGAGGAAATGACCACTGTATACAGATTAAATGCTTTCTGTTACCTAAAGGGCACTTGTGCTATACCTTGTACTTGTTCATTATGTATGCTTGCCAAGTTTCCTCCAAGGCTCATACAAGTTCTTCTTGCAGTACTCCAGTACTCATAGGAAGAGCCAAAAAATTTGTAACACTAGGGAAAAATTAATATAGACTGTTAGTAAGTGACAGCAAGAGGAATTTAGGTTTGAATTATGCTAGTTTAAGTAGTAATTAGCCTAATTCAGACCCATAAAACAATTTTCCATAGTTAACAGGGATGCAGCTCTGGAGCCAACACCATTCAGAAATTTTAAATTTACTCTGTCTTCAGTGGGAGTCTGATGAGAATCTAATGTGTTACCTAACTCACAGATTTTGAGAAGGCATACTTCACCATTAGTAAAAGACAAAAAGATGCTGACTCTATAAGAAAAGCCCAGCTCAGGGTTTCGTGTGCAATCATATGAAATTTTTGCAAAACATTTTTTACCTAGAGCCTATGGTCAGTGTGCACTTGTGTATTCAGCCTTTTCATTTTACTGCTCTTTTATTAATGGAAATTTATATGTCATGACTTCTTAAAAAGTGCATAGTCATCGCATTACCACTACACATTTACCCTGAAATAGTTTTGGTAATTCTGAGTGTACCTAGCATGCCCTATCCACAGACCTCACCCTCTGCTGTGTGGCACACTAGTAGCACTGTCAGAGAATCACCTTTCATAGTTTGTGGAAAATAACTCTGATGATTGTAACAGAAGTGCAAAACCAGTGTACTGGCATAAACTCTACTGGTGTGAGTATCCATGGGTGCCTTCATAACAATACTGTATATATTAGACAATAGAACACTTGCTTAGTAAGCCCATCATTTGTCCCGTTTGGAAAGAGGCAAGCATTACGCTGAAGCCGCTTTGGAAAGATTTGTCCTTATTTCTGATTTGCTTCAGCTCAAATGACTGATTTTACGCTATAGTTGGTGCTTTCAGTTGAATTCAGTTACTTTTTTTTTAAAGTATATACAATGTAGCAGTTTGCCCTATGTATCTCAGATGACCAATTCTCAGAAAAACAATTAAGAACCTGTAAAATCAGGTCTTGTAAGAATTAGGCAACTACTCTAATTTTGAATGTAACTTTGGATAATCACTGCAAAATATATCTTTAAGTACCTTCACAAGGATTAATATTGTGCTTAGATGGATGTTAGCATACCTGATTTTTAAATAAAAGCCAATCTTCAGGACATCCTCCAGGAGTCGAAGGTACCGCTGAAGGAAGTGTTGCATTTATAAAACTTCTGTGCCTCTCACAGATATATCCATTTGAAAACCCACAGCTGACATCATTCCACAAGCCTGAAATCAATTTAAATATAGGTAATAAGATGCTGAATAAGGTTGAAACTTGTGGGAAAGTGAACTGGCTTTTGTGATTTTAGGTTCAAAATCAATCTGCCTGGGTATTTGAGAGAACATGCTTCAGCTCAATTCTGCCTCCCATCATCACTGCTTACAGGAGGACTTTGGTCTAGCTGTGACTGTGGCCATACGAGATGGAGGATACAGCATCTCTGTGAACTCTGAGTAGAACACACACAAACAGCTTTGTTGCACTGAAACATGCAAGTGTAAAGTAACATTTTATCAGTGAAAACATCATAAAATGTGAAACTTCATATACGTTCTATTCCTTTGCTAACTATTCTCCAATTATTTTTTTAAAAGACCAAGTTGCTGTTGATTTAAGTAGAACATATTTTTTGTGCAGCTGAAAAATCAGTAATCAAATTGTTCCTATTTGTAAGGGACATTGCTTATTCCCTAATAAAATAATTTTCTTATATTCCACTTTTGTGGCTAATATTGCCCCTGCAGAAACCTCAGATATAAGGGCTATACTTTATTATGCATATTTTTTTCAAATTTCCAGAAAGAATGGATTAAAGTTGGCAAGATAATTTTAGCAAATGGTGGAAGAGGAGGACCCATACTGTGTTGTACAGTACCCATACACTACCCATAAATTACTTTTTAAAAATAGTTGTGTAACTCACCATCTTTTTTGTTTAAGACCACACAATTTTCTTGAGCATCTGCAAAGTTGGGCTCACCCTGTGCCCAAGCTGCATAGTGCACTGGGCTTCCATCCATCCAACTGAAAAATAATAACAAGAAAATGGTATTGGTTGCTCAGACAATGTTCATGGAATGGTTCAGAAAAATCTACCTTAATGTGATAAAAATGTATGGGAAAAAAAAATCATAACTGAGTCTGTAAATTGAGTTTCCATTAGGATTAAAAGACCTTAGCTGATGAAATCCCTGCATGTCAACTCAAAGAACAAAAATACTTTTATTTTTAACAGACAGTATCTATGTACTCATAGCATGAATATTTCCTTTTAAAATGCCATTTAAAGCAGTGTTTTTACAATGTAGTTAAACCAAGGGAGAGTACACATTTCAACATGCAGTATAACTCTGAATCTGCATTTAACTCCCTTGAAGTGGTCCCTCCAGAAGGAACTCTGATGGTACAAAACTTCTACAATCCCTTTTTATGAAACTTGGTGTAGCTTATTTACCTACCTAAACTGTTGATCAGCATTCTGAAGTAACCCTATGAGATAGGACTTCAATTTGCCATTTTTTAAGATCTAAACACAAAAATGTACTTTTAGTTAGTGCATTCTAATATTTAGTAATTATCTAATAGAAAAAAGTGTAATTTTTGTGCTATGGAAGCAGATAGATGACTATAACTTTTTGAAGTAGATACCTTAAAACACATACTTTTGCTTTATTTTCTTTATTGCTGCTTTCCCAGTTTTGGCTGCATTTCTGGTATGATCAAAGCTTTCAGAGTTGTGTTCTCAGTTTAAAAAGTAAAAAGGAAGACTTGAGAAAAAAATTAGTATACAATTTTTTGGTACTTTCCTGTTCTTAAGCAGCCATGTAATTCCTGTGTCACTCTGTGAAGACACAGAGTAAATTTAAAATTTGTGAGTGGTTTTGGCTCCATTCCAGTGTCCTCTTCTTTCATATTCTTTCCCACATAATCATAGAACCATTTAGATTAGAAAAGACGTGTAAGATCATCAACTCCAACTATAAACAGTGCCAAGTCCCACTAAACCATGTCCCTGTACACCACATCTCCACATCTCTTAAATACCTCCAGGGATGGTGACTCCACCACTTCCCTGGGCAGCCTATTCCAGTGCTGGATAGCACTTTTGGTGAAGAAATTTTTCCTGATATCCAGTCTAAACCTCCCCTCTAAACTTGAGGCTGTTTCCTTTTGTCCCATCACTTATCACTTGGGAGAAGACACAAACCCTCCACCTATCTGCACCCTCCTTTCAGTTAGTTGTAGAGAGCAATAAGGTCTACCTTGAGCCTCCAGACTAAACAACCCCATAATAAAAGCAAGAATCTAATAGTGTGAAACAAAAGGAGGCTGTGTGACTACTTTGGTATTAGTAAACCAAACAGGATGATGGCAGGGGTCTGAGGCAACATCCATACTATTAAATAGGTACTCTGCCCCTGCCATGGCTTTGGCATGTGCCCATCAGAACCATATAAGGCAACATGTAGGCAGTGACCTTGAAATACATGAACAGTTTTGATAAGTGTTTTAGAGGAACTAATTCATGGAGGTCCTAGTTCATCAGTCCCTGACCTGGGCCAGGCTAAACCTTTCTTTGAAAGTTGTTTTTCTCAACAACATGATGTGGTATGTGACCCTCAGAGCTACACTGGCAGTATTCTCAAATTAACACTGAATTCTAAAATATGATAATCAGATGAGGGGTAGCCACCCTATCAAAAGTACAATTTTCTCAGCATATACCTTCATTGCTGCTTTCATATACATATATGTTTGGTCATGGACAGAACTCTATTTAGATCAGAATACAGAAGAATATTCCCACCCTAGTAAATGGTAAATTATTTTGTATTTATTTTCCTAAAGAGAAACTGTGTTCTGTAGAATAAATATTTTTCATTGTACATAAATCTACTGCTAATAAAATATAGTAATATAATGCAACAATTTTGCATTATATTGCAAAATAATATCATATCATATCGTTTATGCTTGTACTTCACAAGCATATGCAGCAGGGTATATAGGTTATGTATCGTAGATTTCCTCTTACACATTTCCACAAAAATTTTCTTTCACTGTTATTTGTAATAGTAGCAAGATCTCCATGATTATTTTTGCAGAATGTTCTGGCTTTCTCCATAGAGGTCTTTTCTGTGCTGAAAAAATATTGTTTATCTCCTTTTATAATCCAGCCATCTTCTGTGACTTCATACACTGCAACACAGAAGAGGAATTTTTTTTATTCTTCACAGTTCTTGCACAAAGCTGGTATTGGTACATGATACCACTGTTTAGATAAGAGACAATAAACAGCAGCTTACTAGCCGAAGGTCCCAGAGGTTCTGGTTTCAAGGGTGTCCCTGTAATTAGATGGGAAAAATATGAAGATGTAAAATGTTTCCCAAATTATTAGCTATTATAAGTGTTCAATTACTGGAAATTATCTTAACGTCTATCAATTTTTCATCTTTTACGTGTGCAATGCAGAACATATTGATATAATATCTTTTGTGCAGAGAAAAAATGGATGTTTAGGGAATAACAGCTGCATTACAGGCCTACATCTCTGTCTTGGTAGATTTTTTTGGTAAGTGCATCTTGTACATTCTGAATGTTTCCCAAATAAGATGACAGAAGGTAGTGTGAATTAGTACTTGTTTCTGAAAGAAAACTGAGGAGTGAAAATACTTCAATGTTGATATACTTTGCACAATAATAAGAGATTATTTATGGACAGTGTCTTGTAATTCAACAAGAAATTCAAATACTAATCAAATTTTTGGCTTAAAAGAATTTTGAATTTTAGTTTTATTCATTTATTTGGGAAACATTTTTTTTTTTTCTGTGAAACTACTTTATGAAGAATCACATTTGATTTAAAATCCACCAGCTTCAGACAAATAATGGAAATGAAAAATTTTCACATCACACAGAGTGGGATATTGGAGAAATGTTTCTCTAAACAGGTAAGGCCAAGAACTAAAAATGTAAAACAAACGTCACCTTTATAGTGTTTTTCCAGATGAATTCATTGTAATGTTTGTGTTGCTGTATGTGGAATTACATTAAATATAGTCTGTGACATACATGCTTGGATTAAAAAAAAAAGTCATGTCACCTTTTAAAAATAATGTCTTGTATGTTTGGTTAAAAGATTTTAAAGAAAAGATATATATCTTCAGGAAGTACAAAGTATTATGATTATTTCAGCATCGTTCAGTATGACATTATGTACTGCTGACTAATGATGGTAGTTTCTTCAGGCTATAATTTCTGCCATTCATATGTTAATAATAATTAACAGTATATAACTACTATTGCCACTTCTGCTAATGATTTTTAGTTGTGCTGATCAGTCAGGTGAGGACTTAGAAAGGAAGTTACCAGGAAAGGTATCTTCACATCTCTTTGAGATAGATGTCTATGACTATTTTTAAGTATGAGAAGCTGAAACAATGTGGCTTGGTCAGAATCAGATTATTTTGAATAATTCACGAGCACCAAAATTATCTTATTTAGATAAGTATTACTTTAAGCATTAACCCTTACTCCTTGTGTGAAGGAGCCCAGGGAGCCACCAAAGCAACGCTTCTGTTAGTCTTGGAAGTAAAATGTGTAACTCAATACAAAGCAGTAATTAAATCCTCTCTTATTTTACTGAATAGTACATTTGGGAAGAAAAAAAAAATAATTAAAACAAACAACCCAGAAGTATAATCATAGAAGAATTTCTTACTAGTATGAGAAGATGGGAGTCTGCTTATTCTCTTAAAGTATATAAATGTTGAAGCTTGGATTGCCATCTTTTCATTACAGCAAGCCTGTTGTTACAGGAGTCTCTTTACATGTCATCTTAGGAAGAGCATGACTCTAGTATGCTGGTAGTCTTGTGTAAATTAGAGTAGGTGACTAACGTGTCCTTGTGTAGCATTCTAGCTACCTGAGCAGAGAAGTGAAGTTGCACTTCACAAAGGATAAGGAAATTTAAAGTAATTTTTCTTTTTTTTTTTTTCAAATTGCAATCCTCTCTTACTCCCTGTCTGCCCCTTTAGCCCACAACATGGAAATTCCCTACAAATAAATGTTCCAAGAAACATACAGTTTCATGTCAATCAAAGCTTCTGTTTTGACAAACATCCACTTCTGTGCAGAGCAATCAGTTTTACCAGACCATAGGAATTTTTCAATCATAGGAATCATTTCCTATGGTTCTATAATTACATAAACATATGTATTTTCAACAAGGCTTATAATAGATTTTAAAAAAAAAGAAAACAACTTTATGATTAACACTTGAAACATTGTATTCTGAAAGTATTTATGTTTTGACCTATTTTTCCTTATGCAAAATTCCTGTGAAATCAACCTAATTTTCTACTTGCATGTAACATACAGAACTTCCTGTTTTGATAGAATGGCATTCAACTTATATTTCTTTCTAATGTGAGTTTAGAGTAAAAAATAACTTACCTTTCTTGATTTCACAAATCCAGTTATGACTGTATTCACAGTGCACCTTAATCCATGACATGGAAGAGTCTTCACTGATTGCTCCACAATATTCAAATGCAGTATTGTAAAAATAATTATTTTTCTTATAGTTCACCTACAGAAGAAACACAGCTTTGGTTTTTATTCCTATCATACAGGGAAAAAGGCTGTACTCTGGAATGAAAGAGAAGCTTCAAGCCACCCTTTATTTTCCTCCTATAGCTGTGTAGCATCTGCAAGAAAAATGAAAGGATCTGGGTTTATGCAGCACTTAACAGACTCTAGCAGTCCCATGAAAACTGAAATCAAATGAGGTTATGAATCAATAGGAGAGGAAAGGAACAAAGCAATATGTCACCCGATACTAATAAAAATCAGGAGAGAGACCTTTCTCATATATTTGCCACTTAGACAATCAATCATCTGTAGCTGTAACTAGTACTCCATATTACCACTGTTGCGATGACATAACCTCAGAGTTTAGGGGCCTTTTTATTTTCCAAACCAGGACAAAGAATGACGATTTAGAGTTACCCAGTTGCAAGGTAGACATTTTTGGGAACTCTTAGACAACTTTCATCCACACAAGTCAGGAAAACAGCTCCAACACTGAAAAAAGTCAGAACAAAGAAACTGGCATGGTCAAACACTCACTGGTGATCCATCACTCCAGGAAAGTCCACCATCAGGATCCAGACACTGCAAACCTATCCAGAAAGGCTGAGATGATGGTGGTTTTTTTCTAGAGTGTAAAAAATGTATCATGGAAAAAGAGTACATATGTGGTTAGCACTGCTAAATTTTGCAAGCTATGTTGGACAATAATTGCTTTCACACTTATTGAAGACTTCAAATAGAGTAGGAATTTTAAAAATACTAAAATGCTGTTGGTCAGCAAACTTTCATTAGCAAGTAAGTGAAGTTTACACCTTAAAACTTTCTACCCTGCAAACGGTTGTGTTGAAAACGTAGTACATCTTCACTGATATTGTGACTATAGTGTTCATTGAGAAATAAAACGTTCAGGTTTGCTGCAATTCACAATTTAGTTTCAAAATTATTCAGTGACCAAACTTAGAAATGGGTCTGAAGGAGAAGCATTCAACCAATTTGGTTGTTATGTTGGTATTGTGGGATTTTTTTTAAATTTAAAAGATTTGCGGATGATGACAGATTTTAGGAACTCCGAAAATGGCTTTGAAAATACTACTCATATGGAACATACTCTCTGTTCTTTTTCTTATGACTGTGATGATAAACAGATACAGATTTTCAACTAATTATCTTAGGAGCAACTCAGTAATATTATCATTTATTCCTATATAATGTACTGTTGCACCAAAATGCCAATTATTGGATATTTTGCTTACTTACATTATTAAATTTTCTATCACTGCTTGCTCGTCTTCACTTCTAATGGCAGCGAGGTCTCCTCCTATTTCTCTGCAGAAATCTCGGGCTTCAAACCATGTTTTCTTTTGGTTTTCTTCTCTCACAAAAACCTATAGGTACAGGAAGAACACTATGTTTATGACGTTAAAAATAAATCTGCTGATTGCCTTGCATAAGCAAAATGAGAAAACATTCCATTATAATCATCATATGTAATATGGATTCACGAGTATGCTAATTGGATAACCTTACATATCACTGATAGAGTGAGAACTGCAGTGATTTCCATGAATAGTTGTGTAAAAGCTTACTATATTTGTGCAATAATGTGCCATCCTCTGAAGTTCAGACACCTTATCTATTTGGCCCTCTTCTGTCTCCTGAGTAGGATTATTGGAAAAAATAATACTTACCCTGAAGCAAGAATTAGTGTTGTTGCTTGTATCCCAATACAAGGGACATTTAGAATCAGAAAGAGTTTCAGGAACAAGAGGAAGAGTAATTTTTTCCACTAGTTTTTTGCAGACAAATTTTGCCTTTACTTCACAGTTCTGAACATCCCATAGTCCAGCTGCATTTCCAGTCCTTAGGGCAACACAACCAGCTTGATTCCCTTCGTGATATATAAAAGAAAATAAAATTGTGTTTTAAAGTGGCTCCCTTGACATTTTTACAGCTTGAGGTACAAAATACTGAAATATTAAGTGTAGTGTTGAGTCAAAGGAGGAGCTTTGTAATAAGAGGAAACCAGCAAACGGAGTCCTTCATTATCTTCCCTCCCCTTTGAAAAGCTTTATAAGTGCATAAACAACCCCTTGTCTGCCTTTTTCTTATCCCACTCAGTGCAAGGATTTGGCAGCCTGTCGCCCAGGCTTGAAGGGATAAGGTCTCCCATCAGCCTCCCCTTCTCCAGACTAAACACCCCCAGTTCCCTCAGCCTCTCCTCACTGGACTTGTGCTCCAGACCCTTCCCCAGCTCTGTTGCCCTTCTCTGGACACGCTCCAGCACCTCAATGTCTGTCTTGTAGTGAGGGACCCAACACTGAACACAGCATTCGAGGTGTGGCCTCCCCCGTGCTGAGAATAGGTATCAAAGACCCTCCCATTTAAAATGCAGAATGTTCGTATGTGTCATCATGGATGTGTTTTAGTGAAGTTGGGAAACAATTTAGAATTACAATACAGAAAGTTGCTTAGTAGCATAAATTACTCCAATGGAAGAGTACCAGGCATTGCTGCGTTCCAGTTTGTGTAGAGAACACCTTCACCAGTCACCCACTTGAAGACCCCTTGTTCTTCCATGTTGGAGAGACCAATCCAAAAATACTTCTCAGAGCTCAGACCAACAAGGCTGGTCAGGAAGGCTTGCTCATATCTGAAATGACAGGAGTCAGATGGGGATTAAGCCTAGCTTTCCCTTAGTCTATCATTTCTCAACTTCCTGAACTACACAAGACTAGAATAAATTGAATCTCCATTAGGTTTCTTTTTATGTGGTAATATGTTGCTTAACGAGGTACCAGATGGACTAGCTTCAATAACAGGTGAAGCTGTGCTGTACTGAAAAAATCTCAAAAGCAGCTGTGATCTGTTCTTTCAGAGTAAAGTACTGGAAAATATGAATGTGTATATTTAGTCAGAAAAGACATACTGTATTTATTTGTTTTTCTCTCCAGAAAAAGGATATACTGTTTTTCTGGTTTCACTTTTTCTCTTCCCACCTCCTCACCCCCACCAACGCC